CAGCGTCGCTCGGGGCAACGAACGTCGACTTGGAGTAACCTCTCGTCGGATTTCAGTGTCGCGGAGTTAAGTATAATGTAACTTTCCAGATCTCGCTTGAGATCGAGCGCATTATAATAATAAAAATTAATAAAGATATAAAAAATATATATATCTTTAGTCAGGAATATCGTCGTGCGTATATAATGTATACATATATAACAAATATATATATATATATATATGTATACGTTATATCATAATAACGCATTATTATAATTAAAATGTCTGAGATAATAAATTTGGGAGGTGAAAGATACAATACACGACGATATTCCTGACTACCAATCTTTTGAGATTAATTGAAAATACCCAGTGTATATTTACAAAAAAAGTGCTCTAGAAACGAGAAAGTTATGCAAATTTTTACAATAAGTACATTGTTGTGTACGTGTTTTCGATATTATCTAATTATATTATCATAAGATATTATATTCACTCGTGTTTCGTGCTTAATTGGCCGCCGACTTGATTCGCATCGTATCGTGCGCGGCGTCGGCATAAAGTTGACGAGGTTCGAATGTCTTGTTGGCGGCACTTGGTGGCACGTAGTCACGAAGTGGATCGACGCCCGAGTCCAGCAGCGATGCGACACGTTTAATTAGTAAGCTCATTCGTAATTAACATCGTGTCTGCCGAAAGCGTATAAGTTTGGCGTTTGCGTAATATCAGTTATATTTATTATATAATTTGGAGTTTACTATTAAAGTTTGATTAAAAGAAGAAACAGTAGAAATAATTAGCTAATATGTTTAGGTATGTTAAATAAATTTATTTAAAAAGAAGTGAGCATAATTTTCTCGATAATATGATATACAAGATACAGAGTGCCAAGTAATTGTTTGATGTTTTAATAATGTATTCTGGAAAGAATTAGAAAATCCTAGATCAAGAAACGCGATTTTAATGAATTAAGAAAATTAAGTCGCTACGAGAGATTTATCTTCCATAATGTTTTTTTAATGTATTAAAATAACAATTTTACTTCTTTCGGAATATAAAATATTAGAGAAGGAAAAAAAAGAAAAAGTATAATAGTGAAATTAATTTCCACAGATTCTTTTTCAATAAAACAAAAATAAATTTTAGTTGTTGAGAGATAATGTTTTCTAAATAAAAAAAGTATTTCCTAATAGAAGATTGTAATAATTTATCATATATATAATATTTAAACTTAACTAGTATTAATCATTTGATCAATATCAATTATACCTAATATTTACGTGTAAGAAATTAAAAAATTAATTAAGCGATAAAAATTTATATTGTCAGTGGAAACCTACTATAGACATTAATTCGATATTCATGTAAATATTATACATATAATTACGGATTTAAGCTTATGAATTCTATGTAATATTACCTTTAATTATTTAAAACTCGGAAATTGTTGCGATCACTTCCTACATAATCGTTAAAATGTTCACGGGTATAATTAACAATTGTGTGAAATTTTTCGAAGAAATCGCGTTTTTTTTTAATTTAAAACTTATTATCTTAAATTCCAAAAAAAAATACGTTATTAAAATATTGTCGGCAGATTACGCACTCTGTGCAGAATGTGGATAATGGACGGATACGTTTAATACGCGAGAGGATATAATGCATATAGCGTTATCCGAAAAAAATGGACTCTACGTTTTCGTACGGAATAACCGTATCCATTTTCTACCGATTTTACGGCAACGCTTGCATAGCGAAATATAATTCCCGCGCAGTCGTAACAGATGTTCCGTTCACGTCAAGAATAAAACAATCATTCGAGATGAGATTCTCCTCGTTAGTCGGGCTGTGTTTTACAGAAATGTCAGTAGGTAAATTTGGACAAATTTACTTGAAGCGTCGCTCGCTATAGAAAATAAGATCATCTTGCTCTTGCTCTTGCTCTCTGGAGAGATGGGAAAACGCGGGACGCGGAGGAAGGGGGAGGAGCGAGTAAGGAGGAGCTCCGACGATAAATTAAATCCGCTTTTAAGAGCACCACTTTTCCGCTGGAAATGCTCATTAGCGCTGATTGTGAGGCAGCTCGTTCACGTTCCGCGGGGCGCGCATTCTACACACGTCGGCTATGCAGTTTGCCAATAGCGATGCGGTCTCGTCTCGAAACCGACCGAAATCAATCCGCGTCTCGATCTCACGTAACAAACGAACTGAATTAAACTGAACGAGGATCGTATTTACCACAGCCGAACGCTTTTAGATATATTTTTCGTCGTAACGAAATGATATCGCGAGAGGAGGTAAAGAGATAAAATTAGAGCGCGAATAAATTGCGTAATACGCGAATAAAGTCAACAGGGATGGGCGAGGGAGAGGAGGGGAGGGAATGGGGAGGGATAAAACAACGCGATTAATTTTTTTAATTGTATAATTATCAGCGGTGGCCGTTGCCCGCCTCTTTTGCGAGCGTGTCGGACGCGTTTTTTATCTAATTATCTCGATTGCAGGCTTATTGTATCGCTGACGACGGGGGCGAATTGAGTTAATCAACGCAATCGACGGACCGAACGCGAATCGATAAACGTACGTGTAATTGGACCGTTTCCGACGGCGAGTCTCGGTAAAAAAAAAAAATAGAGATTCGAGTCTACGACGAAATCCTATACGACTGGTAGAACATTGCCGATCATGAATGACAGGGTTTTGCGGGCCCAGGCAGAGCATAACTCTTCCGTGTAAATCATGTACGCCGCGGGCGCATAATGCGCTCCCGTATTATTGCCGCTCATTGTGGAATTGCCGCGCGAACTCTGCCGCTCTCTCGTGTACTACTCGCCTCTGTATAGACGACGATAACGCGAACAACACAACAGGAAGCGGAGAAAGACGGACGTATACACGGTCGGTGATGGTTGGAAATAGTTTCGACGCTCGTTGAATGAACCGGACCCCGCGAGTCGCTAAACGGGCAATTTATGCGCCGGTGTTATCGGCCGGACGAGGGAGAAACAACCTGTTCGTTAACTCATTTGACGACAAGGGGACGACGAGGGCGACGACGACGACGACAACGACAAAGTGCTCCGCTTTCCAAGTCAAACCGCCTACGATTTACCATTCTCCGTCTGGAAATTAGTCCCGTCTGTCGTAGACAGACCGGGACGTCTATCGACAGACCGCGCGCGACTCGAATGATTCGTCTCGCTGCAATTGAGCGATACGGGATGACGTTTATAACCGTGTAGCTGTATATATATATATATATATATATATATATATAAATCTAAGGGCAGAGAGAGAAAATCAGACGAGATCTTCTCTTCTCCTCCTTGAATCCGCGTGCTTGAGAATACGGATGCAGCCCACTAAATATATGTACGTATAGTCGACCAGCAGTTAGTCACGGTTGCAAGTGTCCGATTTAACGTGGCTGCTTGACTTCGCGTGCATTTCCAGATTTATACGTCTAAAGACGAGGAAGATTTAGCATTTAGAGACGCTTGCGGCGAAATCTCTCTCTCTCTCTCTCTCTCTCTCTCTCTCTCTCTCTATCTATCTATTTATCTCTCTCGCTCTTGGAGATGAGCGCGGAGAGAGTCTGAGGAATTTCTCTCCACGGTTCTTCTAATCTCAGCGAATGCCTTATATCAAATTATGATACCTAATGCCTCGCATAATTTACGCGTTTGCTCGACGGTGAACGGCGTAAGGCATCGCAAAGCACCCCTGTCTACTATCTCCTCCCTCTTTCTCCCGAAGCCCGAGTGAAGAGATCTCATGGAGAAACGCCGCGGGTAAATTTACTACGCCCTACATTAGACACGGGCGTGATACGCGAACTCCCCCCCGGAAACAACCCGCGAGAATTTCAGCAACAATTTTGCTCTCACGTCGAACGTTGCAATGCCGCCGCGTCGCGCCGAAACTCCTTTGCGTTCCGATCAATGAACGGATTGACGCGCGTCTTAATCGCTCAATTATTCACAAATAACCGCATACGAGAGACGTCTATCACGAAAATGGCACAAAGCCGATTTCGAAACATTGTGAATTTCGGCAAAGCGCGAATATAACTGGCGCCGCAGTGTTATTAGCAAGATTTTCAAAATAACGCCCACATGTTTAAAATATGCGACTTGTACGTCTATAATAATAACTACAAACTTCTTAAGAAATTCAAGGTATTGTTCGCAGATCCTAGAAGAATATTGGATATTTTACAATTATTTTACACGGAAAGAATAATTTTGCCGAAAGATTTAGCTGGGTACAAAAAATATTGGAATTTTGTTAGACTATAAAAATAATTATGTTGGAAACTTAATATTGATGAACAATGCTGCAAAAAATTTTGATATTCTAGCAATCAGTTCGTGTTTCCAACAAAGTTATTTTGATGCTCCAACGGAATTATTTTTGGATTTGTATCTAGCTAAATTTTAGGAAAATCGTTTCAGCAAAATCGTTCTTCCCACGCATAACAGAGATAAAGGCAGCAATCGCAAATTTACTAAATTGCCAGTAATGGGTAAAAATGATTAATGTTTTCTGCATAAAATACATCGTATATTTTTACCTCTACCAATTTTTTTACAAAATAGAGGTTTGAATTTTTTAATTTTTAAGCGTGAAAAACGTTGCAAATTATTTATGATCTTTTTACGACCTTTCGTAGAAAACGCAATAATTTTCTTTATAGAAATTTTATTACGTGCGACAAAGGAAAAATGTGAACAAATAATAAATTCAATACAATATTCTCAAATTTACAGAGTTAATATTTGTGTGAAAATGTGTGAGATATGAAAGTACACATAAAATATTCTGTACTGAATTTGTGTAAGAATCCTAAAAATGTCAAACGTTCAAATTCAGTATCGTTTCACGTATTGCTGTAATGCTATTTACACGCAGCTTGCAATGTCCTCTAAATTGACAAAGCGATCCGCATAAAATTTGAGGATCTAAACAGCTCTCTCTCTCTCTCTCACATTGTGAGTATGTGGAAATTGCCCTCTTACCTTGCAATGGGTGCAGTTGTGGATGACGGAGTACGGCTGGGCGCAATCGTAGCGCGCCAGTACCTCCTCGAATTCGCAATGCAGCCTCGAAGCCAGGGCATCAACGAGCAACAGCTTGTTCAAGGCTTCATCGCACTTCTTGCCGCCGTTTAGCACGTCGTAGAGCGGACCGTCCTCGCCCGGCGTCAGGGCGTTGAACACCGAGTGCTCACAGCAGTGCCGTAGACGCAGCTCAGGCAGCCGACGCAGCAGTTTACTTTTATTCCTCATTTGACAGATGATCTTCTTGTGCGATTCCTCGAGATAATAAAGGCACTGTTCCTCCCCCTTCTTTTCGTCGATGCTACCACCGTGTCGACTGCCGCCCTCGCCTCCGTCCTCGATCCACTTGGAAGCGTTTTTGCATGGCTTCGGGCAGTGCTTGGGCACCTCCGGCGGCGGTGCTCCGCAGCTACCCTGAAGATCGGTCGGCGCTGGTCCCGCCAGATCGCAGGCCGACAGCCAGGGATTCATTTGATTCATCTCCCAGGTGTATTCGTTGTAGGGGTGCCGCTGCTGCTGCTGTTGATGACGAGGACGCTCGCTATTGGTATTGTAATCGCTACCCTGAACGTATTGTTGCGAATGCTGGTATTGGTTCTCGATGACCGTCGGCGACGAGAACAACGTGTCCGGCGGCGTGGTGTTACCCCGTTGCGCGGGATTCTTGGCATGCGCGAGGGTCGGGTTCTGCGCGAAAGTCGAGGCGAGGTGACCTGAGGGACTGCCCGAGCACAGTAGGGGCCACGCCAGGAGGTACAGCACGAACAGCAGCAGCCTGTAGTAGCTCCTGCGTACACGCGGCTTGTCCCCCGTTCTTCCTCCTCCTTCTTCCCCTCCGCCTCTCCCTTTTCTCCTAGTAATTGGCTTTTGGAACCAGGCAGTGTTATGGCTACGTTTCCTCTCGCTACACCGTCCTCCTCTTCGTTCACGCTCGTCGAACATCTCGTCCACTGTCGGGTACCCGCGACCGTAGCCATCGATGCGTTCGCGATCCTTCTTCCGATCAAACGAAGAAGATTGCGATGCCCACTGATCACTCTTGGATACACCACTACTCGTATCCTCCCCGGTGTAGGCGTAGTCCTCGCGAGACGCGTGCTCGTTCGCGTTTTCATGCTCGCATTCGTCGCGCGGATTATCCGTAGCACTAGCATGCGCGTCGTCATCGCTAATTCCGTCATGCTCGCATTCGTAGGCTTCCTCGGACCCACCGTAGATCCTCCTTCGTTCGCAACGCGCTCGTCCCTCGTTGTCATCGTCGTCATCACCGTCGTTTTCTCCATCGTCATCGTCGTCTCTGTCATCGCTATAGGCAGTGTAAGCATGCACGTCGACGAAAGAAACGGCCGAGGTGGCCACGTCGAGCCCGTCCTCGGAGATCGCTCCGCTCCCTCGTCTTCTTCGTGACCTTCTTCTTGCTCTTCGTGCGAATCGCGGCGGGACTCGCCGTCGTTGTCGCGGCGACGGACGAACGGCGCGAAGAAGAACGCGTGTCCGTGCGCGCAACGCGTCGCTCCCCTCGTTATCGTCCTCCTCGTGATCCTCGTGGCGATCACGTGTGCGCGCGCGCACCGCGCCGCGCGAAGCGAAATCGCGAGAGATGCGAAAGGCAGTGGCAGTTCCGGCTTTCTCATCGGGTCCGTGCCCGGTTCGGTATAAGTTTCGGGCCTCGTGATGGTGCCGCGCGGCGGACGTGCCACCGTCGTCGACGACGCAATCGCGATTCGACCTGGACGACGCGTAAGAACGACACGCGGCGCGGTCGGACCGTACGCACTCCACGAATGAGGCCGACGACAACGACGACGACGACGATAACCAGAGCTGCTGCTCCTGCTCCTCCTCCTGCTCCTCCTCTCTCCATTTTTTCGACGTAGGTGGTCCCGTGAGTCCGAACGGGTCGAGCCGCATGGGCGCGACGGGATAATCGGGGACGCTAACGTCCCCGACGTCCTGCCGTCGTCGTCGCGCTCCTCCTCGTCGACGTTCCTCGACGCGCACGTTCGTAGCTGTTGTACGACGCGACGTGCTCCCTCGCCTTCCTCCACCACCAAAACCGACCGATTCTCTCGCTGCCGCTGCCCTCGTTTCCTCGGTATCGCGCACGTCGGCTGATGACAAAAAAGATGACTCGCGGTGGACTTGTGGCGTAGATGATCCGTGTCGCAGCCGGGCTGCTGCAGAAGGCCCCGCATCGCTGCCACCAAATCTGAGGCCCGCCTCTCGGCACGCGCTCTGCTCTCCGACACTCGACTCTTCGTGCACCCAGAACGCCGCTCGCGACGCGACCCGCGACGCTGCTGCAGCTGCTACCGTTGTTTCCGGTACGTCTGCTGAGACACGACGCCAGCAACGCTGCGCAACGCGACCGTTCAGGCGACTCCGCTGCCGAGCGTTCCTCCGGAGATATATCGGAAATATTCTTCCGCCACTCGATAACTCGCGCCAGATTTTCCTCACTCTCCCTCTCCACTGTGCAGCGATACACGTCAACGCCTTCCTGGACGGGTGATCGAGCCTCGACGTATCTCCGCTCCCGATCGGAACGCTCTCCACTCGTTTCCGTTTCTCTCTTCGTTCGCGTCCCTCGTCGCCGCGGTAACGGGCAAACTCGCGCCACGATAATCCGCGCCGTCGTCCACCCCGTCGCTCTGTCGGCGAGCGACCACTCGCCGGGGTAACCCCGCTGTTCGATGATGTCAGCCCCGCTCGTGCGTATCCCGGACCAGTCGCCCAGGTGCCTGCCTGAGCGGCCCGGGTTGGCGGGGCCCTTAGAAGTTCCCCTGGACCAGCGTACCACGGCCGACCGAGACGGCGGCGACTGCGACAGTCGCGGCTGCTGCGGTGGTTGCGGCGACGACGACAACACCGGCGAGGAGTTCCTCTCTCGACGGCGACAGCAACAACGGCAACGCAACGCGTTCGTAGTAATCCACCACCTCCGCTTCCGTTTCTTCCTCCTGCCGCGCCACTTGCACCTCTTGCACCACCACCTCGTGTCTCTCGTCGGTCTGGCTGTGCCTTCTCTCCCTGCTGATGCTGCTGTTGCTGCTGCTGCTGTCGCTGTCCCCGCTGTGCCAGGTGTTGTGCGCCACTTCCGAGTGAGCGCGACGACGCCGGCGGCGGCGGCAGCTCTCGACGCGCGCGACGACGTTGCGTGTATCGAGGACGACCTGATGCGAAAGCACCTGAACAACACCCGCTTCGTCGTCGTCGTAGTCCCCCTGCCGAGGCTCGCGAGCTCCCAGTGCGGGACACCGAGGTTCATGCTGCATCCTGAACGCCCGGCTACGTACCCTCCTCCTCCTCCCTCTCTACCTCTTCTACCTCCTCCTTCTCCTTGCACCTTCTGCTGCTGCCTGTCGTCGCCGATGATCACGGCCGGTGGTGCCACGACAATACGCACCACGATGATAACCACGACGGCGACGACAGCGATGACACGGACAGCAGTGGCAATCTGTTCAGAAATCGCCGCACCCGAGACCTCATGGACGTATCCCGAGGTCACTGCGCGTCAGTAACCAACTCGACCCGAACCGTCACTAAAATGAAGAGATACGAAGAAGGCGCACTCACTCAAATTGCTTCGGAATCCGCAACGACGACGGGGGATGAACACACGGCGACTCAAACTCGACACGGCGACATTGATGTCACAAGGTGGTGATTCTTCGGCGGTGGTTCCTGGGCGAGAGAGGGAGAAAGAGAGTGAAGGTTATGACGTTTCACCACTCAAACCACACCATCGCCACCGCCATCCTCGCGTTTGCCTATTACCCGGAGGACGGGACGATCAGAATTAACTATACCCGTAGGAGAATTCACGCGTAAAGCCGGAGCGCGCACTTTTTTTCCTCTCTCTCTCTCTCTCTCTCTTTCTCACGGTTCTCGACTACTATGCTTCCGACGGAGAGCGAGAAGGACGATGACGGTAGGGTTATCACGGCGACGACGATGGATATGGGCAGACACCAGCGGGTATCTCGCGGTCGCGGCGAAGAGGGAACGTACAAAGGGGGGCATTTATTAGGATTAGGATATCGTCGTCATAGCGGGGACTGCCGCGACGCTGGAGGTACGCGCTGGAGGCCGCTCCGTGCTGGCGGTGGTGCTCGGGACCCTGCTGCTGCTGCTGCTGCTGCTGCTGCTGCTACTGCTGCTGGCACCACCGTCGTCGCATCGGCGCATTGTCACCCCCGTGTGTGCAGCCTTGTCGCGGCGCTCCTTCGCGCCCGACGATTCCACTCTCGGATCTCGGCGATGGACGGCGGGCACGCGCCACCGAAGAAATAACGCTCCGTTCGGACGGATCCTCTTCGCAACAACGGCGACAACGATGACGACGACGATGCTAACGATAACGACGACGATAATGGGATCGGAATTAATGACATCCACTCGTCGCGCGTTGCGGTGAAAGATTCCTCTCGGTGAACACTGCGGAATCTATGCTATACGCGCTGCTCACGATGTTGTCTTCATCAATTCTATTCTATTCTCCCGATAGATCCTCTTTGAAGTATCGTTTACCTAATTAGGAGAGTCTACCCTCTTTATTTCTCGCATCTCTTTAACGCGCTTGCGATACCAATACGCACACGTGCGACGATCTAGCGCATGCACAGGGAAGGGAGAGGCGATGTTCCATGTATGTGAACGCGCAAGCACGTTCCTCCTCGTCGGCGCGATCGTCGATGGGATTGATTACTGATCGATATTGATAATTGGATATATTCGTTATTTATTGTTTGCCTTTCTCTCTTTCTCTCTTTCTCTCTGCTTTCGGAGATGTAATGCTATTGCTTCGCGCGCGGCCTCCAGTTAGCTATTTATTAGCCTGCGCTTGGTACGTTAGATGCGCTTCGACGATCATATGATGATCGCGAACATCGGCTAACGTTGATCACGAGCGGGCGTTCGCGAAAGGGGGGGAATGGGGGTGACGACAGATAAAGACAGGGTAGGGGGTGTTGTTCGCGCGACACGTACGACGGCTTCGAGAGGGTTACGGCGAATCCACTCTGTTCGCGCCCCCCCGAACGGGGGAGGGTTAGACCCGCGTCGGGTGCGTCGGGTTGCGCGGCGGCACGACGCGGGGATCCGACGTATCCGGATGTTACACCGAGGTTGGTTAGTAGGTGTGCTCTCCCCTTTATATTCCCTTATATATGTATATCTCGGCTCTAAAGGACGGTGAAGGCGACGGAGGTGGCGGAGGCGGCGGTGACGGTAACGGCGGCGACGGCGATGACGGTCGTACGTCGGTACGGGCCCGGCGACGTAGGAAAGGACGACAGGGAGCACAGTGGGCGAGCGCACCAGGCTAATAGTAGGACACACACACACAACTCATGTACACACCACTCTTTGCTCGCTCGTTTTCCTCGCTCGCTCGCGCCTCGAGCGCGCGCGCGTGTCGACACGACGTTACGAAGAAGAAAGAGGAAAGAAGAAACACCGCGGAAGCGCGATCCGCGCCGACACCAGGCACTGCGCGCTAGCTCGTTATCGGCTAGCTCCTGTACTACACGGACGTACCCGAGGATCCCTCTTGGAGAGACTCGTCGCAAAACTTCGGGGGAGAGCGCCCTCTCTCCACTCGCGGATCGTGTCCCTCCGTGTCGTGCTGCCGAGCGCGCGCGCACCACGCACCCCCTTCGCATCCACCCCTATCGCTCCCTTCCCCTTTCTTTCGCCAACCCCCCGGCAACCCCCCGCGTATACATCTCCACTCTTCGCGTCCTCCGCTCTGCCTCCCGTTCTCCATCCGCGTCTCTTTCCTGCCTGTTCATCCACCTCGGCTTCTCCCTTCTCCCTTTCGCGGGGTGCGCTAATCCTCTCTTTCTCTCTCCCGTTTAAACCCCACAGATCTCTCTATCGAGAACTTTCATCCGCCCTCTCTTTCTCTCCCCCTATCACCCTCGTCCCCGCGGGAAGAGATTTGTAGGGCGGATTCTTTCTCCTCGCGGAAGTCGCGCCACCTGCGTTCTCGTTCTTGTGCCCCCGTGGCAACGCGATTCCCTTCTCTCGACGGGGGCACTGACGACGTTAACGGGGTACCGTTCGCCAACAAACGTTCTGGCCTTCCGTTTTCGCGATCGTCGTCGCATATTGTGCCGCATCCGATGTATCTGGATTTCTCTCGTATCCCTCATCCGTGCGGGTCTCTCGTGCCCACGAACGTCGATGACGACAACATGATGGGCGTCATCGAGCGCAAGCCGCCATCTTCGCTCTCGCGCCGCTCCCCATCCGGGGACGGCGGCTTCGAGCGTTTCCATCCCCCCATGCGATCCTTCCCCCTCGCGTTCCGTACATCCCTCATCAACCCTTCGTCCACACAGCCGCGATCCTCCTCGCTCATCCCCTTTCTCTCGCCTCTTCTCGCATCTTCCTTCATCCCCTCCGTCCCCTTTCTCGCTCTTTCTCTCTTCCTCCTCCTACGATTTCCGTTTCTCTCTCGTACGTCGGAGTCGCATTAACCATTCCTCTCCTTTCCTCTCCACGTCGCTCCCTCCCCTCTCTGTTTCCTTCTCCAGCCACCGCCTACCCCCGGCGCATACGGCGCTACACACACGGTCGCTTTCCGACTCTTCTACCTCTCCCCTCGCTTCCTCTGATCCCCGCGGAGAGCTCTCTCTCCGTCAGCCACCGTTTTCTTCTCCGTAACTTCCCCGTCGTCCCTCCTCCTTCTCATCCTTCTTCTTCTCGTCGGCTGCCACCCCGCCAGTCCGTCTCATACACCCCGGCCACCCCGTGCCCTCCCAGTGCCGACGAACGGGGCGCTCGCCGAAAAAAAGAGAGGAGAGAAACCGGCCCAAGTACGATCCTCGACTCTCTTGCGCGCGTGGCGCAGTATGGATTTGTGCTCGTTCCGAGATTCGAGCGACCATCCGAACGACCCGAAT